CAAGGGGGGAAAAGGGTTTCAAAAACCCATATGTCAATGGACCTCTGGGGCAAAGGGTTCATGTTATAATGGTCAGAAGGACTTGAGGTGGTACAAAAAAACTTAAAACATGATTGGTTAATATACCAAATGCTGCAGGAGGTAAGGATAGCTCTCAATGTCGAGGCTAAAAAAGTAAGCTTTCATATCAACAGCTACAACTTGCTGTCAAAATTTATGAAATTTTATCTTATTTTTATAAGAGTTCCCTTTTCATTGCCAAGGTTTAGGTTTTTTTTCAATTCCCCAATGCAAAGTTTGGTATGAAAAATTAATTTCAATAAGAAGCTATAATTAAATATGAATATTTATTAAAAATTCGTATTTCTTCCTGCTTTTTTTATAATTTTATAATTCCTGCCACAACAAATGACAATCGAGATGGGGTTTAGCTTCTTATGGGTTTCCCCATAATATGCCCCCCAAAGTTTGTTTTTTCAAATTTCCCGTAAAATATCATTTAAAAAGGGGCTCCAAAATTGGTGTTTTTTAAAATTTTTTTGCCAAATTTTTGTTCCATTTGATTTTTAAATTTTTTACTTTGGGAAAATTTTTAAATTCATTTTTTCCTCTGTTTTTTGGGAGAATAATTATGTTATGAAAATTAAATAAAAAAAAATGAAAAGGGTTGCAACAGCTTTTCACATGAAATGGGCAAGGAAATAGGCAAAACGATTTTTCAGTTTATTTCTAAGCATATTCCTTGAATTATCTATGTAAATCTTTCTCTTTTAGTGCCAAACTTGATCAGTGAACTTGATCAAGGGGTAACAAAGTAGCATTGTTATGTTTTATTGCTTTTTGGACCTCAGTGGGAGTTCCTTTAATAATGTAAATAATTATAAACCTAGATCGGTAATTTTATGACTGTTACAAAGTTGTAGTAATAAAGTTACCATTTTTCCAAGTCCAATCGTTTACAGTTTATAAATGAATACAGGTCTGTTGCCTAAAAAACTATCGCCTTTATTTGCAATTCAAAATAAGTGGGCCAACTTTATGTCATTCAGGGCAAACAGTGGGGCCGGTGGCCCGGTTTCAAAGCAGTTGCCTATAACGATTCTATTGGGGGAACCAGATTCGGAACGGTACGTGTACGGTAAATTATCATAACGGTCCCGTTGCTGATAAAAAATGGCGACTGAAGCTACCTTGTGTTTTTTTTTAGTAATATCGGAAAAATGACGGTTTTAGGAAAGAGAACATCTAACGTTAAAAAAATCATTACATTCCGTCAAATTTGAGTTTCTACAAATCCCCTTCCCCCCCTTCCCTAAAAAGGGTTTTTATCCCGAAACCAAAAATGCAATATGTAGAGTAACAAAGTTAATAAAATTTAAGCATTTCTTTTCTTGTTGATAACCACTGCAATTTAACATTTAGATTAAAACCTAATTCTGTGAAAAAGATAAACAATTTCAAACTACTTGGCTGTAAAGGCGGCCTTTATGATACCATATGTAATCTAGAAGCTGCTATCTGAATTTGTTTTTTATCTTTAAAAAAGACAAAAATTTCAATTTCTTACCCTTTGGTTTAATCAAAGGACATCCATAGCTTTATGTGTTTGGTTTTCCCGAGGGGGCCTTTGTGTAGGAAAGTGTCCAGTTATTTTTGTATTTCCCAAAACAAAAGGGGAATGTTAATGAACACTTAACGAAACATTTTCTCCAAAGGGGAAACCAAACCCTTTAGGGGGTTTTCCCAGAAAATACGGTGTAAAAAGGGTTTAACGTTTCCCAAAAAAACGTCCAAAAAGAAAAATCCGGGAGTGACTTTTTAAACGAGGGGGATTAAAGTAACTTCCGGAAAAAATGTTTCCCCCGGGGGCCCATGAAAAAGTTACTTCATTGGGAAATTTGGAACCCTCACATTCCAAAAATTAAAAAGTCCCAAATCGTGTTTTCGAACCAAAATATGGACCCAAAGGGTCGAAAAAAAATGTAGAATAGGGGTTTTTTTTTGTAAATATTCATGTCCGTATTAAAAGGAAAAAAGAATTTTAGATATAAAAAAAAACCGGGGTTTTTTTTTACAAAAATTGTTATTCGGGTTAAATTTTTTAACTTTTTTACCAAAAATTTTAAAAAAGGGGAAATTTAAAAAAGTGTGAAAAGAAACCAAATTTTTTTGTACAGAAAATTTATGATAAGAAAATATTTTCCATAAAATTCCTTTCTTTTTCAAAAAGATATAAAAAAATAATCAAAAAATTTTTTTAGAGATTCTACAAAAAACGTGGGTTTACACGTTTTAAAAGGAAGGAGATCATGGAGTTTAGGATTTTCCCGAACTTTTTCGTTGAATGGGGGGCTTTAACTTTTTTCCGAGGTAGAACAGGTGTTGAAGTTTGTTGAAAAAAAGGCCCAAAAAAGGGTTATCAAGATGACCTTGAGAATTTCTCTGAGCCTAAAAATAGATCAGCTGGTTTACTGCATGGTACATCATCTGCAAGCGGGACTCAATGTTTGACAGATTATATTCCAGTGTGAATGCTGTAACACTTGACCTCAAATAGGCATCTTCAAGACGAAGATGACTTCCTGAAAAAAGATTATGATTCAAATTAGGCTCAGATATGTCTGTGGTATTCATAATGTCTTAAAAATTATTAAAAAATTCTTGTTTTCAATGTAAAGAGGATAAATAAAGCAAAATATAGTGTTTTTTTTGTATGAACTTTTTAATGCATATTTATGAACTATAGCTTATTTTTAGGGTTTTTCTGATTCATCGCCTCCCCAAAATGTATCTAAATTTGTTTGGGAAAATAAGAGTATGTTTTCAGAATATTAATATATTTCTACACAAGAAACAACTACACAGGACTAAATTTACAACTTACCGACGGGTCGATGTTATTGGTGGACACCGGCAACCGTATCTAAAAGCATTAGTCTAGACAAGTTGGCGTACGGAATATGTGGATATGGATGACAGATAAGCCCGTCTATATGATTACAAACAACATAAATATGATTATTTGTATCATTGAAAATTGATATTGAAAGGCCTCTCCCTTAATATCCTTACACTGTGCAGCTATTACTGATCCTTGAGTGCAAATCTTATCTAATACACTTACTGGTTGATGTTCATAATTTGATCTGAAAAGAAAGGTTTGGTATTTACAATCTGTTGTTCATCCAAAGTAATTAAATCAATAACAAAGAAAACAAATGATGATGCGGCAGTGATATTATGTATTCTTATAAATGTGAAAGTCACAAAGACAAACGTATATTTCAATTGATTACTTCTGTAATTTTCTGAACTCATTTCTATCATTATTTTGTAAGTAGTGGAGATATTCTATTGTTATTTGTGTCCTTTTAAACGAGCTTAAAAGTTTAAAACATTTAAAATGCATGACATTTTTGAAAAATGTTTTGTTTAAATCCGTGCACTTTTCATTTATTTATTTATTTTTTATGTTGCTTTTCAAATATGTATATACAGATATATAAAAAAAAATTATAACGTGAACGGGCTAGCTGTTTTATACATATTTTTTCTTATGGCTACTTTGCCAGTTGATTTGTTACAAAATGATTAAAATGAATTTAATCAAGTTTAATTAACTAGTGTTTATAACAGTAACGTTAAATTTGATAAGTTCTTATTGAAAAAACTTGATAGTAAAATTAAAGGTGTTTACTTCTTTATGCTATTTAATATAATATATAATTTAACTAATTTTAAAGAATGGGTTTTTTAGGTTTTTTCCAATTTTCTTTAGTATTTTCAAATTTCACTCAACCTTTTTAATTTTTAAAATTTTCTAATTGTATATTCGTAAAATAATTAAAATTCTAAGTAAATTTATCTAAATATTTATTATTTCTTAAAAATTAACTGCAAAAAGGGTGGGGGAGAAAACGGGCTGTCCTTTGGTTTTTTTGCGTGTATTTTATACCGGGCCCCAGTTGGGCCCAATATGGGGGGTTTTCCCATAAAAATATTATTTATTTTAATTTTGGGGGTACGTGCAAATCACCCGGAAAAACAGAAAGACGCCCCAATTCAAGAAAACAAATTTTCCCCGTTCTTTAGCATGCCAAGTGTTTAAGCACCCGTACATGGGACCTCGATTCAAAAATTCTCGTCCGTAAGACTGAATAGTAAATTTTAGTTTGCCAGCCCGGGAATCGAACCCACAATGTCGAGATTACAAGTCTCGCGCTCTAACCGATTGACCTATGCGGGCTGGTTCTGTCCACAGCTTTTTGAGCTCTATTTATACCTAATAAAGTAGTTATATTTAATAATCGTTTTCTGAATTTGAGGAAATCAAGCATCCAACAGGTACTGATATTGGGTCGAATATTGGTTAGGATGGTATTGAGTTCGAATGAATTTTAAGGACAAATTTTTATATTTTTATATCAAATAATAAAAATTTGTCAGTTTTATCAAATAATTGTTATGAATACATTTTCTAATCTAATACATTATTATTTATATATTTTTTTATTTATCTATAAAACATTCAACTATCCATTTAAATACAAGATTAAGTATATGTTTACAATAATAACTAACCGGTAATTTAGGTTTAAAACCACTACATATAATAATAGAATCATTATAGAATCTAGGCAGAAGAGAACAATCGTCACACAAGCAATGTAAGAATGGAATCCCTTTTTTGTCTTATGATACATTTATTATCACAAGGGTTATAGTGATGAAGCAAAGCGTCATGTAAGTTGTACAATTTGGCTTAAACATAGAAACAGTTATTTTTCTATATATTCCTCGGTCGTCATTCAAAGGGCTGAACATCTTTTAATAGACTTGACAATTATATCTAAATATAGTAGTTATACATTGTCAATGTGTTATGTAGACACATGATAGGTACCTACCCATTTCTCAATGTAACAGATTCGTTGTACCATTTTGAGTCCCAACAAATTTTCTGACCTAAAATAAAAAAGTGTTAATAACAAAGAGGATTCAATTAAATTTCAGTTTGATTAATGAACTTAAGTCAACGTGTTAAATTGCCTCTTATCCTTGAATACCAGTTTACCTAAATATTCATTCACATGAAACGATCTTTTTCGAACTTACTGGTCTGACTTGCATGTCGGATTGTAAAGCACTGAAATGGAACCAAAAGGCGTACTTGTGAACAGTTAAGTTAATGATAGTTGAAAAATATTAATTGTGTTATAAAAGCGCAAATAATGTTGCTGCCTAATTGCGCATATGTTAAGCTGACACAAGGTGATATTTTCTTCTCCTTGCCTTAATATTTTCACCGTTGGAAATTTCCCTTATATAACTAGGCATAGACACTTTGATCTACAAAGGAGATTTTTGCTCCTCCATAATATTGACATTGTGGGGAGATTTCCCCTATGAAACTGGGTTTCACAGAGTCACTGTCACTTGATAAGGATGTTATACGATTTGCTAAGTCATTATGTGAATGCTGCTATTCAAGCAAAGGCAAAGAGTAATAATAATGTTAAAGAAAAAACAATTCCGAATGCAAAAAAGTAATGCTTGACAATTTTCCAGTCGGACTTTACAAAAAACCGCCCAAATGGCATATATCCGGATAAAAGGCTCAATATATGTGTCTTAAATTTAATTAATTCTAAACTGTTGTCATTTATTTTCAAAGTGGCTATGACACATTTATTTACAAATTGATTTACTATGCAAATATTTTCCGAGTGTGAAATGAGGGGACATAACTCTAAGGTTTTGCATGTGCGAAAACCTGTTTATGGCATTATAAAAACTAGCTAATCGTATTCTTCTATAGTCATTTCTTACCATGTACACTACCAGATGATAATAATCCAAATATTAATAATAAATAATTAAATTCCATTTTTATTAGACCTGAGTACATAAAGACTGGTTTGAAATATTAATTTCCTATCTGATATTATTTGATGTGATGAGGCCTTGGAAGTAAATATTCAAACTGTGATTTCTGCAAAAACGTCTCGCCTTATTTGAATATAGCCTAAATGTACTTTGAAAACCCTCACATGACTTCTTGCCTCTTAACTTGATGCTACACTGATACAAGGTTGGCTCAAAGGTGTGAGTATAAGATACATTAAGTGGCTTTTTTGTTTAAATTAATCTTAAATAGCAAATATTGCGATAACGAGTTAAGTGTCCATCCACTCCACTTGTCATACGAGATGCTCACTGAAGAATCTAATCTGAGATAACGTTCTCCTGTCTTTGCATGTTGTACTACTTTTTAACAGGTCAGATTACTGTATACTTTTCCCTATAGACTAACTTCAGAACAATTTGGTCCCTAAACATGCATTAATATTGAGTTATCATGCTTAAGATGTGACTTTTCAAGTAAAATGAAAATTCCTGACATTAAATTAAAAATGGTCATATGGGTCTCTTTTCTATACATGCGGGGTTATCTAAATAAGGGGATATACAGACTAACGTAAACGAGCTAATTCCTTCTTGAAAAGGCTATAAAAGAAGCACTGCCTCATTCTATTTTTTTATTGATTTGCTAATCTAATAAATTAAATCACAACTTGATAAATGTTAAATTTTACTGTAATAAGATAGGATTTCTTTAAAAAAAAAAAAAAACACACACGCTTAAAACGACCGTAGAAAGCGGAATCTACCGTTGACGTTTCAGTCCCCCCACACACCCTTCTTGCCTTGATTAAAGCAGTGTTCCACATTTAAACATTGTCCTCATTATTACAACTTAATGGTCAATTTTATAATGGCTAAATTGTTAAAAGTCGATGTAATAACGCCACTCTGAACATCATTCATTTTATTATGGTATACTTTCAAATTCAAATTTCTTTTTTTTTTTTTTGCACTTAAAACATTATTGGGGACAATACATGGTAGGAAACTCGTATAATCTTTAGCTTGTCTTACATATACAATTATCTTTCCCGTGTAATCTGCGTTACTAGGTATGTTGTATGATGTATGATTAAAAAGAAGAACATCAGTTCATCGGTGAAATATACATAATACATGTTTATCACATTCACATTTTATTTGGCTTTATTTTGCTGTATACTCGTATGATGATTCATACTAATATGATTAATGCATGGTCATTTCTTGTGAAAAAATTTAAAACATTCGGAAATACATTAACATTTTTATCCCTTAAACTTGATGTAAAATGACAAACACATGGTTTCGATTAACATCCGCATCAAATAACTTAAGCAGTAAGTAACATGTAAAATATTAGTATACCTTTGTTAACAGGATTTAATATAAATAACTGTGTCAAATAATTTAATGCTAATGTATGAATTTAAAACAAATATATAGTGTCAGTAATTAGAGACAAAGCTGACATCATATGAGATGCAATGGACAAAATCAATACAATAACAACTATCAAATAAACACAATATTTGTTTTAGTTGTTAAACAATTCCAAAAACAATTTTTTTGTTGTCTGTTGACTTTATATCTAAAAGCTAATTGAAGGCTATAATATTTGTTCTCTTGTAAAAATTAGCTTTCAAAATTCGTTTCATATATTTGAAAAAAATATTGTAAAATTTTGTTCAATATACTGAAGTCCACACCCTGTATCAAAACAAATATGTTTCGACGAATGTTGTTTGCCTCTATATGTATATTTATTGCCTTTAATTCCTTAATTTTACTGGATGAAACATATATTTTGGTGATCTATATATTTAAACTTTTCAAATCAAGAGCCATTTTGATTCATCAAATTTAAGTTTTATATATCTTATTGTGGGGCCAATTTCTTAATTTGTGTTGTCCTGTTTATTATTGTACTGTTACTTTTATCTATTTTGAATTGAAAAAAAACACGAATGAAACCATATTCAAATATTTATTATTAGTGCCAAACCAAGTAATATTTTCTGTCATGGACAGTATATGGATGAATCGGTTCGATAAGATACAATATTAATAAAAGGGATGCTTGGCATATACAGGGATAATTTTTTTTAGCTTGGAAATATATAATACTTGTCTTTCAATGTCTATCGATATTGAAAGGTTAAACACTGCTTTCACAAGAACAATTATGTTATACTAATTTTTTAAAACATTTAAAAAAAATTGATTGGGCCCTTTCAGTGATATCTAAGTTGCGGGTATACTATATTAATATAATCTATCATTGGGTTAGAGGATAGAGAAATCCCAACCCAAGGGTGATCGGTTCTGTCGGGAACGAGCCTTGGCGAGCTCCCAATGGAACAGATTGCCCGAGGGTTTGGATTTCTCTATCCTCAATATCTAACCAATTGATTGATTATTTTTCTCACTAGCCAGAAACACAAGAAACAAAATATAACTATCAGTGAAACTACTTCCTATGAGCATTACAACCTAGTTTGATATTTTATGTTAAATACAACACAAGTTTGAAGGACCCTGAAACTGCAGAGATGATGTACAAGTAAATTGAAACTATGTACAAAAAGAAACAATTTTTGTAATATAGTTTACATATATTGTGTCATTTAGTATTAAGCTATACAGGCTTTTAGTTTAAACATATTTATTTCATGAAAATAAACAAATACATATATACATATATATATACATATACAATCAAAATCAAACATATTTTAAATAAATTCATATTCAAGAATAGGATAAAAACGGAAGACTAATCTTATTAAATTCTTCTCCTTTTTACACTAGAAAGGAGAAGAATTTTGTAGAACTTATAGTGTAAAAAGAAGAAGATTTTGTAAAAACTTTAGATCTGAACCGTATGCTCCTTATTAATGACTTAATATTACTCGTATGTACAAAAATAACGTATAAACAGTCACTTGCATTTTTGTACATTCCTACATAAGTTTATATAATAATATAAATGTATGGTATGGTAATATGTATCAATGTATGACATGATACTACCAGCCTTACTAAATGAAACTAAATTCTGGTTACTTAACGCCGAAACTTCACACGTATATTGAAACATTAAATATAATTACAAATTTAAGGGTTAAAAATAATGTTTTGAATTAACAACGTATGGTGTAAAACAATTAAACTCTTCATACGAATTCATATTTTAGTTTAGAATAAAAGGAAAAAAGTAACCCAAAAGTAGAAACACTAAAATTTGAAGAATACTTTTTCATGTTGTAAAAGTAACTTTCCTTATTAATATAAACAAACAACACTAATTTAAATATATTAAAATTACTTTGTAATTATGTTGTCTCCAAAGCGCATAAAAAATATTCATTTTGTGCCTGAACCAATAAATAATCTATGCAAACCTCTAAATTGATATTATTACAATGTAATGAAAATATTTGCGACAAGTAAATGATGCTATGTCTTTTATACACCTTGGAAATCACACATGTCCTGTATGGGTATTTCGATTATTCATATTTATACAAGTTATGTAACCATTAGCTACTCTAACTGTTACTATGACAACCTATCTTGGACAACAATTGTAAACATCTACTTTTTGCCTTTGGTAATATGAGGTTGGCATTTCATTTTATGTGTACACAAAAATATTCAACAATCAACTGAAAAGGTATTAAAACTGGTTTTAAAAATCGAATATATATATACATAGCAACAATTTTGTCATAGTTTCGAGATTTTCAAAATGTATTCTCCCCCCCCCCCTTTTTTTTTGTTGTTATTGTTATTTTTTTATGTTTACATCAGATGTACATATATTGTCGAACATGTGTAGGTTTTTTATATTGTTAAACTAATAAACTACATGACTGTATATAAAATACACCAGCATGACTAATTATCCGTCATAGTACAAGTAGTATTAATACAGTGCACAAGTTTTTCATACCTTCAGATCTGTTAATCTGATAATTTAAAGTGTGTACATTTATGCATATTGTTTCGGAAATGGTTGCATCAACGTTCCAGAAATTGACTTTTATAAGCGAAATCTATTGTAATTACCAGCATTGCTACTAATTGTAAATTCTTCATCGTGTAATAAATTTAAATGCATGGAAACAAACAAAATGTAATAAAATGATTTTTAAGAAAATAAAAGAGAAATAAGATAATTAAAAATGGTTTTAGAAATATGTATAAGATATATACAATATATACAGTTTGATGTTGTTTTTTATATTTGTAAGCTACATAACTGAACTGCTTGTTTGTTTGTTTGTTTGTTTCATTTTACGCCTTTTCCCAACAGTATTTAAGTCATATAGGCGGGTAGGTTCCTAACCATCGTTCCTGGAGAGTTAGACCAGTACTAGACTACCTTCCTCCGCGCTTAACTACCAAAGCATCTCCCGGGGATTGAACCCACGCCAGAGAGGTAACTGGATTAGAAGTCATAGACTCTAACCCCTCGACCACGGAGGCGATCCTAACTGAACTGATTGACTATAGTAATATGATAACAGTTTTACACCGTAATAATGAACCTGACAGGTGCGTCACTCTATCGTTATCCTAACTGAGCAGAATTTATAATCTGAATTCATATTGTTTTGCTTTATGATTTTTATATCACTTTTTTTACTTCCATTATGTAAATTCGGTATGAATGGATGTGAATATTCAGTTTAACTTTATATATTATTTTGTATAAATAAACATAATAAGTTCAATCAGTTAGTGATGGTAGTCTTTTTCATATTTAAGGCTGATTTATTTTTTTATAATTTATCAACTCTTAGACAGTTAACATAATAACAGTTTATAAACAATTCAGCATAACTTGACAATAAATATATGAGCATGATATAACTATGAGATTTTTTAAAGCATTGACAACAAAATGAATAAAATTGACACCAGGCGAATATGAATAATCATAAGGCATGAAATTATCATGGATGCATACATTGTAGATATTTAAGAATCGATTAGATTTAAACAACTTTACGAATTGTAAAAGAAAATGAAATAGAAACAAGAGGCCCATGATGGCTTGAAATCGCTCACCTGAATATAAAAAAACTCTCCATGAACAAGAATTATTTTAACTCTGGGCTTTTATTTGAACAAACTTGGCAAACACCTTTTAGAATATGTTTCATGCTAAATATCTAAGCTCTAGTTCTTTGGGTGCTTTAAAGAAGTTTTAAAGATTTCACTATATACATAAAGGGAAAATCAACGACGTGGTCAAATTTGGCCTTTTATCTAAAAAAAAATGATAGACACCCACTAGAAGATGTCTCATGTTTAATATCTATGTTATAGCTCTTTGGTTTTCTTAAAATAAGACTTTTTAAGGTTTGCTATATACATTTAAGG